CCCCAAACTTCCCTGTATTTTTCTATAGAATGGGTTCTATATAGATTCAACAGAAGAGGGATTAGTATTAGCAGATGTTATAGAGTCAAATATAAAGCATGTGTAGAAATTAATTAGTTAAGTGAATGACTGAATTTTTAAGTGATGATCAGATACAAATCTCAGAAAAAGCCTCCTGGAGATGAGTCATTGTGATGACGTTTCAATATTTAATTCTTAAAATGGCCACATATTTAATGAAGGGTAACATCTTATGGTTTATTCAAACATTATGAGGCTAAGAATTTACAAAAATGTTATTTGCAGAAAATGGTCATGTATGTTAGATGGCACCCCAAAAGAGTTCAGTTTAAATTAGCAAAATAATGAATTTTAACTGAGTAAGGTGACTCCTTTGTCTTAAGATGCTTTAAGATTAATATATATAAATTATGCGGATGACCGCTTTTGCCTGTTGGTAGATGAAATTTAAAGGAAAAGGTTTGTTGGTTGCATGTCAAGTACTTGAAAGGTGCTAGTCTGTAGCCTACAGAGAGAGTAATATCTCTACTGCACTTTTAGAGATATGCACCCTGAATAGAAGAACATCTGTTTTTCAAATGCAGTGTTTTTCATCATGGGGATGTATGGAGAAACACTTGCTTTTATTTGGCATATATGCTTTGAAATCAGTCTGTATAAGATTTTTTTAACTTTCCTTGGGGAGGAAAAAATACAATACTCAGATTAGTCAGCTCAGCGGTATGTTTTGTGAAATCTATGTGTTTACTTTATGAACAAGGAAGCCTTTTTCTACTTTGAACACTGCCTCCATTTCTAGCTTTTTATGTGCAGGGGTTTCAGCAGCTCAGAGGGATTTGCAGGGAAACTGGGATTCTTACAGAAAAAGTGAAAAGTAAAGGTTTCAAAGTGAAATTTTAAGCTGGTATTCTGCAGGCCATGTGTTTAACGTTTATGCAGTGAATTAGGAAATCACTTATTTAGTTGCTTTAAATCCTGTGTATAGTTCATATTTATGTGTTACTTATATATAGTGACTTCATGCAGATAAAGAGACACTGTCAAAAATTGAAAATAGTACAAGGAAAACAGTTGTTAGTGAGCTGTTGACTTGGTATATTGCTTACTTAATTCTTATTTTTGCAAACCTGCCTCAAACTGAATAGCATTTACTCATAGGGGTAATCTTACTAAAAATCCAATCTGAAAAATTTATGCACACACTTAGCTTTACAGCCTCTGAATATTCCCGTTGAAATTAGTGGAAATACTCCCAGGCCTCGGGGTTATTCAGCAAATTATGTAATCATATGTTCAAGTCCCTTTACCTTTTAAGGGACATATGAACAGGTTTATAATGAAGCAGAAGATTATGAGATCTATTCCCCATGCTCCAGATATTCAGTTTGGCCAACATCTTTGGCTTTTTTTTTTACCTTCTCTAGCCCAGCAGCAAGCATATCACATAGTGGCTTCTTCAAGTGGAAGAATGGTAAGTATTAAAGGTATAAGGAGTAACATACTAATAGATAATGCCACAGACAGTGTAAATTAACATGTAGATCCTTATTTAGAGACCATTTAATCAGGTGTTTAAAGGCAGATTTATTCACTTAAATGTTTATATATGCATAGCCCTGGTGGCAACTCAGATATGTTAATAGCACGGGGTTGTTCTCCGTCCCTAAAGCAACCTCCACTGCACACATAAAGGAAAGCCAAGCTGTCTTGCCTCAACCACTTCTCCAAAGCCAGAGCTGCTGCATCCAAATTGCCCATGAGGAACAGTCCACGGATCAGACACCACCTGAACTGTGCCCAGAAACTGCTGGAAAATTGCTAACTGGGCAAAGCCAAAAGCCTTCCAGGGACTGTGCCGAGAAGTCAATGTAAGGGATGACCACATGCTGGTGTTTAGGCCTATGTCCTGGACCTCGTTAGCTTTCTGGAACAGCCATGTCTATTAAGGGCGGTGATGTGGAGAACAGATGTCTACAACTAAAATTTAAATAGCACATTGAATGTGAATAGACTTTCTGAATGAAGAAAAAAAGCCCCTGGCTGTTCACGTTTCATATTAATACCAATCATCCAACCATGCACAATAAGGGAAAACAAAACCAATTTTAAACAGACTGTTTTTCTCCTTAGAACATAAAAATTTACACTGTATCTACAGAGGGAGATTCATTGCACCTAATTTCAGCCATCTGAAAAAATAAGTATCTAATTTAAACCGATTGTCTAAGTCACCTCTGTAGCCTGTAAAGAAAGATCATTTTGAGAAGGCGATGCATCACACCCTGAGCTATGTGATTCCAACAGGGGACATTAATTGCTTGGTTCTCTGGATTTCCCCTTTTAGTTACATTCAAGGAAAACTGTACAATGAAAGAGCTTAGACAAGAAGCCGAACACTTCGATGTCAAAGTGATGTGAGCTGAATTTCATCCTGAATATCCGGTTAGATCAGGATAATGTTTGACAATGTAAAGGATTACCAAATAATGATTGTAAACATCAAATGAACAGACAAACGTTGACACACCACAGTTGTGACTATTACATGAGTTAATAAAATACAGCAATACTTATTATTCGGCTGACAGTCTACCCACCTGCAATTCTAAATTAGAGTTGTGGTTAAAAATACAGTAAAATTGCCCTCTCATCTATACTACCTCCAGCAGGTTTTCTCTACTGCCTATAAGGAATCATGTTCTGACTATGTTTGTCAAATAATTTATAAAATTCCTTGAGACCTGTCTTATAAATATATTACTCTGAATTATTAATTAAAAATACATATCCCATAGTGTTTAGTGGTTTTTTTGTCCTTCTGAATTGAAAAAATTCTGTCAAATACTTTTCAGTGTATTGTGGTTGGAAGGAGTTTTGTCAAAGCATTTCTGCTTGTGGATTGTTTGCTAAAAGATTATTTAATGTATAACTTTCATTGATTTCTTTTTGTTATTTTGACATTCAAATTCCACTTAAATCAT